CTGAGAAGTGGGATGAATGAACTCTAGCTGAGAACTTCCTCTACAGACGTAGGCTGTGTTGAGTTATGAGCGCACCGCTCTACTGCACATTCTGTTTGTGTGAAATCTGGATGAGCCGGGGGATGTGGGGTTGGGAGCCAAGAAGACTGGGGAGACACACAGAGGGCTCATGTGTGAGAGGGCCTGAAACAGGATCTAGCTGACGATGGTTCTCTGTGGTTCTCTCCCGAGCCATCACTCTGCTGTCTTGTCCCTCTCCTGCTACTCTTCTACAGTAGCTGTTGACTAAACAGGAAGTTAAATCCCCAGGCTAACATAATAAAGGTAGGACACCTTTGCATTAATACTTTCTCCTCTTACAACTGAAGGTGGCTGCAGTAAAACCTTATCAAAAGAAACAACCAGTGATTTGGCGATATCACAGAGTCACTGGCTTGATGCATTTAGTGCAGCCAAAGTTCTCTTTATTGTCATTGCATTAAGAAAAACACAACAAAAGCAAAGTGGCTCTTCCCTAGGTATATAATATATATAAATGAATTACAGTAAATACAACAAACACCATATGGCAGGTTAGAAATAAAACGATATTAGGAACTCAGGATATGCTACTGTCCATGCTAACCAACAGACAAGGTGACTCCACCAGGCAGCAGACTCCCACCGATGCTTTCCAGAAACACACAAATGTCCAGTAGACAACCCAAAGGCTAAAGGGCTTAACGAGAACTTCATTATACTAGATGACCAGCCACTACCTGCTGTGGAAAATGTCAGATTTCCCATCTTGGTGAAGCACTTAGAGCCCAGGTATAATCTGCCATCCAGAAGATAATTTCAGAGACGGCTGAACCCAAACCATACAACCGAGCGTTGTCACATTAGAAGATGTTAAAGCCATGAGCCTCACAACCGATATCTGGGCCTCAGCTGTGAGCCGCATCGAAGGTGACCCCCTCTTTTCAGTTGCAACTTTACTAAACCCTCAAAACAAAGACAGGTGAGACTGATTGTTTTAAATAAATTATTAATACCCTAAAGTTGGCTGCATTTTAAGTGTTTAGAAAAAGGTTTGGCAACACTTGCAGTGTTCTGATCAAATTTAATGCAAATATAAAAAAAAAAATGCATCTCAGACAAAGGCCTTTTATCTTTGCATTAATGTTGTGCGAAACACTGCAAGCGTTGCCAGACTTTTTGCTTTCTGGCTTCTTTTCCTGAGATGGTGCACCTTGACAGTGGTTGAAGCTGTGCCATTAAATTCTGCAGCATTTTAAATGGTAAATGTGAAATCGTGCAAAAACCAAAACCGCATTTGTTTCTAGCCCAAAACTTGAGATTTATAAATGAGTGTGTGTCCTTGGCCTCTGGCCATCTAGTGGTTGCACGTATCCATCATTACTCATATTTAATATTTTGTTTATCGCTTTATTGTGTTAGGGTGATTTTTATTTTACGCACTTAGGAATGGTTTTATTTTATAGCACACAAGTTATCATACTTATATGTCACAGTTATGTTTACATAGTTACATATCACCCTATTTGTTCACTGAACCACTGGTTAATATTTACTGTATTAGTCATTGAAGCACTGTTCAACATTATAGTGTTTTGTCCACTAAATCACTGAATCTCATTAGATTTACAGCTCTGGCTAAGAGACTCCACAGTAAATTTATTATCACCATCAGGCTAGTGGAGCCTGGGGAGTTACAGTTCACTGGGACTCCAAGGTTAGTTAAACAGAGATTAGATCAGGAGGCTAGCGGAGGAGAAAGCTTCATAGGTAGGAAGATTATGCACCCATACACACACAGGCAGAACAGTTTTAATTAGTGAAACGGAAAGCAATGCCTAATATGGAGCAGGTAGTTGGAAACAAAGGAAGAAGTGAGTGTGTATGTAGGAATTAAGGAAGTATAGGTATTCCTTCCCTTCCTAGGGCGCTGTTCACAACGATTGGAGCAGAAAGGACCATGGAGGATGGACGGACTGAAGGACCAATAACGGGAGAGTTAAGTCTAAACCACGGCTTCTCCCCAGCAGTTTTGACCAATTAGATAGTAGCACCTTTTCATTGTATACCGATAAGTTGAGGATAGTCTTTTCTGTTTATCCTAAACAGTGAAGATCCATGTGCACATGCTAATTTTGATACGTTAATGCATAATAAATTTCACACTGTGAAATATCCTTTTATTAGTCTTCTCTTTTCAAAATAAAAGAATACGCCTCACAATTGCAATGAAAGAGCTCTGTATCAGAATCTGTGTCGATATCAGCAGCCATGTACTGGAATCAGATCAGAACTAAAAAAGGAGGATTGGCCCATCACTACTAAAATGAACGACTTACTTACTGTAGCTCCAGGCTCATCCTCTTCACTAACTCTGGGCCTTTTCTTTAGGTGCTAATTGGTGTCGTGCCCCCATGCCATGACAGACACATTCTTCATAGTTGGCACCAGACAGTCTTCTTTCTGATTGTATAATAAAATGCTCCCAAATTTAGATGACCGGTCATTCACTCTTCTCTGCTGTAACCATGCTCAGTACTATCAACCACCTCCGCAGCTTTTGAAATGTTTTGAAATGCCTCACCGTTGTCACCCAGTCACTGACCCAGCCACCTCACACAGCTACGTGACTACACCCAGCTAATCAATAATTAATCAATAATAAATAGTTGCTGACTATTTTTATTATTGATTTGTTGTTGCAACCCTAAAATACAGGTTTTAAATGGTTTGCAGACCACTGCACTCAGTTTTTAGTTACATTTTACACAGCTTCCCAACTTTTTTCTAATTGGGGCTGCAGATGTTAGAACTTGGAGATACTGCATCTCAGTCAAGCTGAATTTTTGTTGTTTAACAGAGTCCCAGTCTAACATTTATTTTCTGTGGCTAATACAGCTGCGCAGTGGACAGATACGATAGCCTACACTTAGTGTGCACATAAGTGTAAAGTTTAATTTCATTCTGTATGACAGCTGAATAGCTTTGCAGGACTTCCTTTGCACAGTCATGATCTGCTCATTGCAGGCTCCTATCACACAGAGCATGGTTCAATATGTCATTCCAACACTGGTTTACTGTGTTTATCAAACCGCCAAACCCATGGTTCCCCCACTCCCCTGTCCACTTCCCTTCCTCTGTAATGCTCTTAGCCACATTTTGCATCAGAGTTCATTTAGACTGGAACCAACATCCTGCAGCTTATGTTCTTAGGTGTGTTATTGTGCATCGTACGGCCTTTACATTCTTAGTCTCTGAACAACACTGTGGATGTCATAAAAGCCACACAGCACACCACCGCTCTCCAGAAACTGCTTTCTGAACTGTCAGCTGATCGCCTTGGGCAGATCGGTGCACTGGATGCCACATACAGATGTGGACAAAATTGTTGGTACCCTTCTGTTAAACAAAGAGAAACTCACAATGGTCACTGAAATAACGTGAAACTGACAAAAGTAATAATAAATAAAAATGTACTGAAAATTAACTAATGACAATCAGTCATTGCTTTTGAATTGTGGTTTAACAGAAGCATTAAAAAAAAAAAAAAACTAATGAAACTGGCCTGGACAAAAATGATGGTACCCTTAACTTAATATTTTGTTGCACAACCTTTTGAGGCAATCACTGCAATCAAGCGATTTCTGTAACTCCCAATGAGCACCTGTCGACAATTTTGGCCCACTCCTCGTGAGCAAACTGTTCCAGCAGTCTCAGGTTTGAAGGATTCCTTCATGTTTCAGCTCTTTCCACAGATGTTCAATAGGATTTAGATCAGGGCTCATAGAAGGCCACTTCAGAACAGTCCAATGTTTTCTTCTTAGCTATTCTTGGTTGTTTTTAGCTGTGCGTTTTGGGTCATTATCCTGTTGAAGGATCCATGACCTGCGACTGAGACCAAGCTTTCTGACAGATACAGCAAAGCAGCCCCAGAACATAACTGAGCTTCCTCCATGTTTCATAGTGTTCTTTTCTTTGTATGCTTCATTTTTGCATCTGTGAACATAGAGCTGATGTGCCAAACAGCTCCAGTTTTGTCTCATCTGTCCAAAGGACATTCTCCCAGAAGCTTTGTGGCTGGTCAATATGCATTTTGACACATTCCATTCTCGCTTTTTTATGAGTTTCTTTCAACAGTGGAGTCCTCCTCGGTCGTCTTCGATGAAGTCCACGTTGTCGCAGACAGCGACGGATGGTGCGATCTGCAACTGATGTACCTTGACCTTGAAGTTCACCTCTAATCTCTTTGGAAGTTGTTCTGGGCTCTTTGGTTACCATTCGCATTATCCGTCTCTTCAATTTGTCATCAATTTTCCTCTTGCGGCCACGTCCAGAGAGGTTGGATACAGTGCCGTGGACCTTAAACTTCTGAATAATATGTGCCACTGTAGTCACAGGAACATCGAGCTGCTTGGGGATGGTCTTACAGCCTTTACCTTTAACATGTTTGTCTATAATTTTCTTTCTAATCTCCTGAGATAACTCTTTCCTTAGCTTTCTGTGGTCCATGTTCAGTGTGGTACACACCATGATAGCAAACAGCACAGTGACTACTTTTCACCCTCTAAATAGGCAGACTGACTGATTACAAGTTTGAAAACATCTGTGATGCTAATTAGAGGACACACTTTAGTTTAACATGTCTCTGACATTCAAATTTTCAATCATTTCTAGGGGTACCACCATTTTTGTCCAGGCCACTTTCATTAGTTTCTTTTTAAAATTCTTCTGTTGAACCACAATTCAAAAGCAATGACTCATTTTCATTAGTTAATTTTCAGTAAATTTTTATTTATTATTACTTTTGTCAGTTTCACGTTATTTCAGTGACCATTGTGAGTTTCTTTGTTTAACAGAAGGGTACCAACAATTTTGTCCACGTCTGTATGCTTAGCCTGATGGCCCACACACACAAAACATGAAACACACATGTGCACACAAACAGAAGCAAATACACACATTCATAAATGTTTCCAACTTACCTACAACCATTAACGTAAACTCGAAACCTCTTTTGACCGACTTCCGATAGACCTGGTTGGGGAGATTGGCGAAGCCCACATAGCCCTCTAGGCTCCGCTGCTGAAGGGTAACACACATACAGAGACACACTGTTACTGTCTGTTACTACTGGAATCACACAGCGTGAATGAAGGCTCTAAAACCTAACATTTAAATCTTTAATATATCATATAGGCCTGTGACAGCATAAGATGAGCCCTTATCAACACACAGATGCATGTCAGAGGACATGAAACTGTTATGGTGGTGTATGTGTGTGTGTAAACAAATGCAGCTGTACACAAAAACCCCGTTTTCTCTGAACCTACAGTTAGCATTTGTGTCCTGCAGCAACAGAGCAGCTGGGACAAATACAAGGAGAAGTGAGGTGGGGGGGGCTCACAGACAGTCTCCCTGTGTGTTGAATCATGTCTACCATGTAGTGAAGGTAGCGATTCTCAGTGCAGATATATCCACACGTTTCTGCAGCTGCTTCCTCTTTGCCACTGAGGTCCCTCTTCATCCCTTCCCCAAGTCCTCCCCCTGCCTCTATCCGTCTCCCAGCCTGCTGTCAGATTACACCCCCACCTCCAATCACTGTGCACTGTCCTGCACACTGCTGGCCTCTCGGCTCCGTCATGCCCGACACTACAGTGCTGCACTGAGAGGTCTTCTGACAGAAGACATCAAACTCCAGCATCAAGACAGAAAATGAGATTGTTGTGAACAGATAGATAGAATTTAGAAAGTCTACAGTTGGAACAATTAGTCTATTAACCAAAAAAATCTGATAATCGATTATCTTGGCCTTCTTTATAGAAAAAGGGCACATTTGTACTGACTCCAGCTTTTCAAATGGGAAGATTTGCTGCATTTCTTTGTCATACATCACTGTAACCTGAATGTCACTGGGTTTGGTCTTTTGAAGACTTGGGTTGCGATGGGTATTTTTCACCCTTCTGACCTTTTATAGAATAGGCAATTACCAAAAAAATCATTAAATAATGATAAACTAGACAGCACTCAGAGTGCAAACATCCTTCAAGGCAATTCAATTTCCCATATTGCCAGTGCAGCTAAAAGTGCTAGCTTACCTCCATGATAGCTTGACCCTCAATTTGATAGTTACTGAAGAAAAACTATTTCAGTAATGGTGGTCTTCTTCAGGATATAATAGCAATTCTGTTAATCAGATCGCCAGAGTTCCGGCTACCACTCGGTGTTAGTTGCAAGTCTGTGGCGTTATTTGTTGTCTCACAGTAGCAAGGTTTTGTCAGCTCTATAAATCTGAAGATTCTGGATCAGCAGATCTGGAATATTACTGTTCCAGATGATGCTTTTGTGTGTGGTAGGTCCCGATCACCCTGCAGACCCCCAAAACCTTCTAAGAGATGGAGCAGACATAACACAACAGTGTGTGTGTGTGTGTGTGTGTGTGTGTGTGTGTAGTATTTAACATTGAACACAATGCGACTGTGAACAGAACAGTAGTAGTAGTGTATCAATACTGGGAAAAACACTTCTCTGGATAATTTGCTTGCTCCGCTACAATGTTAGACATACATATGCATATCGCTAAAGTGTAAACCTCTTTTTTTGACACTGTCACTGCAACGACTCTGAAAACCACAGGCTCTATGTTCTGTATACGTTAGTTCTGGAGCTGGTTACTGCTGCGCTGCCTGACTGCCACGACCGTCTCTGGCTGTCATGATCACATATGATGTAGTTTCAGACAGAGAGAAGAGGTGGGGACATTGCTAGAGACTGTTCTGATTCTCACTTCACTTGTAACAATGGAAAATTAGAGGGAGAAGTTAGTTAATGCAGCTTTAAGCAATTTAATATAACAACTATCAGCAGGATAATCCTGCTGCCACGGGCTGAGCTCTGCCTCTAACAGAGACACGTGATTGGCTGAAATGCTGGGGAAGGAGTCATACATTCAGCAGCAGTCACTTTTCATTTGTAATTTCATTACAGCAAGATTTGAAAACGGAGCGTCTCACTTGGTTTTCTTATGAGGGGTTAAAACAATGCTCCAGCTGGTAGCACCACACTGACACCATGAGTTGTCTCACTTCTCAGCAGCCGGCGCCACCCCTACGATTGACACGGGTCAGCCACACCTCCTCGCTGAGCTAAAGGTTTCTGTTTGCCTTGCTGAGAGCTGCTCTGAGCAGTTTCCTACTTCACTCTGAAGCTAGGACTGCTTGCTAAGGGTTTTAGACTAAGTTAAAAGCCCTCTGAGAGTCAGTCTCGGATTATTTATGAATATGGGCCCTGGTTTCTTGTGCGTACGTCATTGTATTCAATGACAATGACTTGAGGCCGATGCACCCCCACCCAGCCGCCCCTTTGTATGGACAACAATGTGAAAGCATTATATAAGAGGAAGTTGTCCATGACAATGTAACAAACTGAGACTCACTAGTCACTAACTTAGTATGTATGTGAGTCTCTCTCACTCTACTGTCACCCTTCTAAATTTAGCAGTCAAATGCTCTCTAAATATCTAGTAATCTGATGAATGAGAACCAAACGAAAGTCTATGTCTACACAATAGGGTACAGTTATCTTGGGTTCACAAGGAGCTTGGTGATGGCACTCTGCGCAGAGTGAGGAGAAGAAACCTCCATCCCCAATAAAGCACACACTCACGTACTTATAAAAAAAATGAAATGTATTTCAGGAAAAAACTTAGCAAGTATCATTCAAACAACAAGACCCTTACAATTCCCAAACAGACCTGGGCCTGAACAAGACAAGAACAATATTCCCAAAAAAGAAGATTGTCCAAATAAGATACAATTCAGTCACTTCTTTTCTGTTTGATGTGTCAATTGTATGGTATCAGGTGTGTGGTATCATGTTCGACCCCAAAAAATTAATTTAAAAGTAACAAATAAAATATTGAGATCTCAATAGAAAAACGTAAATCCTCTGTAATCCTACCACCCTCCTGGAAACAGGTGGTTGTTAAAATTAAAAAAAAACAAAAAAAAAATTAACAGCCTACACCCTACACACAATTGTGCAGGGAAATCCTTCAAGGCATTTGCATCTCAAAACTTAATTATCTCTTATCCCATTTCCTTCGGTCTTTCATACCCGGTTATCGACCAATAACCAATACAAACATGTTAAGGAAAATAACCCAGAACACAACAATCAAATCACCTGTAGAAATCCCAAGGCTCATATGAACTTGTAGCGGGTTCACAGTGACACCCGAAAATATGCACGAGAGTATGCTACTCCCAAAAGCACATGGATGCGCTAGCTTACATTGCACAGGCTTAATACAGCTACCCACTCATTAGCACTCATAACATTCACATTTTTTCTTCAAAAAAATAGCATATCCTGACTGGTTTCTAGTTAATAATATGCTGACTTCTACACAACTGAAACAACACTGGAAAAAACAGCGTAACTGATCAATGCATCCAGACGTATTGACTCACCAGGATATTCTTCAACAAGTTAGTTCTATGAAATCACTGGACTCAACATAACACTTTTGGTGCTCAGGAACAACACCTCAACCAATATTTCGAAGCTCAAAAAGCAGCGTTTCTTAAAGATGTTTCTTCCATCCAACCCCAGAGAGTACAGAAGAAAGTTTCTCTTCCCTTTTTTATCTTTTTTTTCCTTCCACCGGAAATTGAAGGATGCTGCCGTCTACACTATGGTGCATTCACAGGGCATGGGAAAACAATACTTGGCAAATAATGTTAAGCTTACTGGAAAGAAAAAAATAAAACAGGAAAGGAAAAAAAATATATACACAACCAAAATAACCTAGGTTACAGCTGGTTTACTGTGACGCTTTACAGCAGCAAGTAAGGGGTAGCAGAGGTCACGCGACATAAAGACACTACTGAAGTTATTCAACAACTACTTTAGTAACGACAGTAATGTTGATCTCACATAAATACCACATTACCAAGACGGAATAAAGCCTGTGTTTTGACTGCAGTTAGCTGGCCTCCTCCTCACTTCTCCCTGCCGGCAAAGCCCTGACGTCTAAGGCTAGTTACCAGCTACGAGCCAGGGTTAAAGCAGTTTAAACCAGAGGTCGCCAGCTATGGTTCAGGGCCACAGATCTGGGCAGGTAACACCGTATTTGAGAAGGTTACAGCTAGTCAGGACCGTGTTGGTAAAGCTGTAATCAATGAGGAACTTATGCCACACCAGAAGTGAAAACTAACCAACACTGACATTTAGTCTAACTCTGCGTTTTACTTTTCCCGCTATCTGTGACACTGTGAAGCTGTAGTTACACATCAACACCACCAGTGGGCTTATGGACACAGACTGAGGGACAAGAAAACCCATGTATTGGCCTCATCAACACTCACTAGGCAGTGGGCCTAACTGTGAACAAGCCTGAAGCGCTTTCTGCCATTTCCCTGTTTGTTTTGCACATACAACTTTCATGTGTGAATATGCATGTGTGTTACATTAGGTGCCACCACTGATGGTCTGTCCATTTCCCTTTACGTGCACAGTAGGAAGCACAGGTAATGTCTGTGGGCTACAATTATTAGAGCAGGTTGCCAGTGCGTGTCTTTGGATCACATGCTGCACCGAGTAATACAACATACAGTGCCTTGCGAAAG